GGATTTGCTGAGGGTGATTCCGTCTGGATGACTTTTTGGGGCCGAGCTTTCAGGCCATGCCTCATGGCTGGATCTAACTGTGGTTGGGGGGTACCCGGTACGTGGTCCCGTCTATCATTTTCACGAACATCATGTTTGTAGGTTGATTGTGCAGTGGGATGTTGGGATGAGGATGAGGTGAAAGACGTACTCTGGGCAGGAATGGACTGAGAAGCCGTTCTCAAACCTGAAGGTGCCATGCGAACTGAGCCAGCGGGCTGAGAAGCAGCGTCGTTAGTGATGGGAGTGAAAGACTGCGCTACATCTGCGGCCCATTTCCCAATCCGGTCAGCATTAGACTTTGGCCATGAAGGTGTCAGTTGCTGCTGCGACTGTGCCTGTGGCTGGGCTGTGACTATGGCCTTTGGCGGAGTCCAGTCGTTGCTCTTGACGCTTCGCGCAACATCTGCAACGGCATGGAACCGCTTGTTGAGGGCTTTTTTCTCGGTTGGGTCTGCCGTCAGCTTCACTGCATTCATGAGGTTCTCTGCAGCGGCTAGCGCTTGCTTCAGTGCCTCGTCTTTGGTTGTCGCGGCCTCGAGCTGCGACTCATGATTCTGTTCCAAATGTAGGTATGCGCTGTCGCAAAGCTGCACAATTCATCCCAGGTCGCCATGCTATTATCACATACGCTTGCGGCTGCTTTCAATGCTCCTAGTCGAGCTATTCTGTCCGCCATTGCTTTGTAGCACGGACCAAAACGAGCAAAGTCTCTGGCAAAGCGACCGGGCTGTCGGTGGATGCGTCAAGAAGTATAAGTATCGCACCGCATGGTAGTGCTGTGTTCGTTGCACTTTAGACGAGGCGCGGTAGTTGTTGCGGTGATTGGACCCTCTGATGTTGTTGCGGCTCGTTTGAGCCAAGCCGAGCAACGGCGGGGCACGCGCCTACCCGATTTGCATTGCGGCGGCAGCTTGTCCTGTTCACTGGGAAGTGCGTTCCTCTGCGTACGCTCGTTGGAAATGGGCTACACTGTACCCGAAAGCAACGCACGTAGGGTACAGTCACGTCAAAATGGGACAGCCGCCGATCTTCACGGATGCATACCCATACACGCACGGGCCGACGCATGTCATTTTGGGCCGTGGTCGTTCACGAACATTTGAACCTCGGCCCAGCTCGGATCTCGTCAGCCATGGGGAACTGCTCCTCCACGCCGACCAAGACGCATCAATACCAGAGCCTCCATTCCTCCTCTCCCAATTGTCCTACTCTTGTTCCCTTTCGTTCGATCCCCTACAATTCCTTGTCGTGGCCATGAGATAGCGAGCTCGCCGCAATATATCGACATACCCCACAACGCCGGTCGCGCCAACTGCCGCCGCTAAGTCGCCGTTGCACGTCGTCACTCCCTTCTTGCGACTCCCACAGTCGACAATATCAGAATGGCTGGCGCATCGAAGCTAGAAAAGCTGCCGCCATGGGGTAACGCGGTGGCTGGTTCCGCGGGTGCAGTACTTGCAAATGCGCTGGTGTATCCCTTGGACATGTGAGTAGTTGTTCGTCTCGGTCGCAAAGGTCCTCCCGAGCTACATCATTCGGAATACATGCTGACACTGTTTGCAGTGTTAAGACAAAATTGCAAGTCCAAGTAAAGCGTGCTCCCTCCTACGCCGACGCCGTTGCCAGTCCCGCCGACGATGTGCATTACACCTCTACAATTGACGCCATCACGAAGATCATGAAGGCGGAAGGAGTGTCGGGACTGTACGCAGGCATGCCGGGCTCTCTTATCGGCGTTGCATCCACCAACTTTGCGTACTTTTATTGGTACACCATCGTGCGCACTTTTTACCTGCAATACTCCAGTGCTCCAGGAACAGCTGCCGAGCTCTCGTTGGGAGCTGTGGCTGGTGCCGTTGCCCAACTGTTCACTATCCCCGTCGCTGTCGTTACGACGCGACAGCAGACCACAAGCAAACACGAGCGGAAAGGCTTGCTTGCGACAGGCAAGGAGGTCATTGATAGCGAGGATGGCTGGACTGGGCTGTGGAGAGGACTCAAGGCAAGCTTGGTGCTCGTGGTGAATCCCGCCATCACATACGGTGCCTATCAGCGATTGAAGGAGAGCTTGTTTCCCGGAAGGACGTCGCTTAAGCCTGCGGAAGCGTTCCGTATGTATGCCCAGGCCCTGAATACGACGACACCTACTGACCTGATGCTCAAGTCCTCGGTGCAATGTCTAAAGCGCTCGCGACCATTGCAACACAACCACTTATCGTAGCCAAGGTCGGACTACAGTCGAAACCGCCGCCAGCACGAAACGGCAAGCCCTTCAAGAGCTTTGTTGAGGTCATGCAATACATTATTGAACACGAAGGTCCCCTAGGCCTCTTCAAGGGCATCGGACCCCAGATTCTGAAGGGCCTACTTGTTCAAGGCTTCCTCATGATGACGAAGGAGCGCATCGAGCTTTCCTTCATTCTTCTCTTCAGATATCTCCGCCAAGTGCGCGCCGAGAAGCTGCAGAAACTCGCCAACATTGCAGCCGAGAAAGCTCAGCAAAGCCGGCCCGTTGTTTTGAAATAGAGTCATTAGATGAGTTATCTGGTTCCTTTTTGATTCTTTGTACATTGCATTTAGAGCTTAGAGCTCCGTGATCGCTAGGCGTTCGGGCGGCTAGATATGGGTATATACGACATAGGACATTTTGAATTGCCATGTTACTTCCACGCCTCAAGTACGTTGCACCTCTGGTATTATTGCATACTTTAATACTTCCAACAAACTTCTAGCAAACATCGATCGGCCTACCCGATAAATATACCACTATGTTCCCTAAGCAAACCCCGCAAACCCAGGAAGTTATGTCCCAAACATTTCATAGAACTCAACACACTTCCCTTCTTCCCCATGCCGTCAATATTTTTCAGACGAAATGGGGTTCCTACACATACATGCGTATAGTATCTAGCTTCGCCCTACCCGCTACCACATTTATGCTGTGTTCTACACATTTTCAATGTCTATGCGCTATAGAAAACGAATACCGCAAAGAAGAAGGAGTAGAGCGAGCCTATTGATGGGAACGTTAAGCACATCCATAAGTAATTGAATATATGTTTCAGGTCGACATTTACATGGTTTAAAGCATATACCGTATAACATTGAATGCATGTCCGAATTAAAACAAGCTTTACTATAATTACTCACATTGTATTTATAAAATATAACTACATACACTTAATCCATGACTATATCGCCCTACTTCCTTAGTTTCCTTATCTCTTATTAAGTAGTTCGCGATGGGACTATTAGCCACGAATGCTCCGTGTATCGTGATGTAATGATAATCCATAGTTGGCGATTCGTTTCCAGTCTGTTGCTGCTACGCTTTTAATCGTAGGCTGCATCACTTCCTTCTTCATAACAGGCGTTGCGGACCGTGAAGGTTGTGGTGCAGACTGTGGATAAGGGTGGAAGGAAAGAGTTATTTTCTTGTCACTGCCGTCGGTTACCGGCTTCTTATATCGGCACATATTGCCAGCCGCGAGCAATGCTCGCAACGATCGTAGAAAGAAAGCGAGATGGAAGTTTGTGGGAGTTCAAAAGTGAGAGACGCTGCGAAGGGTGACTTGGTCAGCTTATACTAGTTATGTATTTTGCTACTAGACAGGGTGAGGAAGGCACAATGGGTCACCTCGTGCACATGGGCTAGTGTGTCCGGGCTGAGGCTACAGCTACAGCTACAACTGTAGGTCTAGTGGTTTCTGCTTGAATTTTAGATGCGGGTACTCACCGCAAAGGGTATGTATCTTTTGAAACTATATTTTACCCTTCAGACTGCTGTAGAGAGTCTCCACAAGTCCGCGTCAGTAGAACATAGCCTGGAGATCAAACAGCATGCGAACTCAATTGTGAAGTACATTGTTGTTCTTCGGATTCTGCATCTTCTAGATAGTGGAAGTTGTGTTGCACAGTGAGTGGGAGCGGTGTGCGCGATTTGAGCGCATTCGGAAACGATGACCAAATAGAACATTCCGCACTTGCCCTGCAGGGAATCAAACATGATAAAGAGGTGCCTCGAACCACCTTAACAATACAAGATACTGACTAAAAGTAGATATCGCTCAGTGAAGAAATGACAGTAGGAATCGGCTCAATAGAGAAGTGACAGCGGCAATCGGTTCGGGGTTATTGAAACCAGAGAGGATAAAGAGAAGACTTTCAAGGGGACAAGGAATTAGATGAAACGATCAACGCATGAATCGTGAGACCAGGAGCAGATTTTGTAGGGGGATAGCTAGGACTCGGATGATCTTCTATAGTACAAAAGTACAAAAGTGCTTGAAAGTTTATCCTCTGAAAGTATGTTTCAGCTTATCATGCCAGCGCAAGTCAGAATGCACTGAAGATAGCTATACGGCTCTCAATCCAGTAAGGAGGTAACAGAAGGGGGAAACTCGGGAAGTATGAAAAGCTCGAGCGAAATGTTGCGTCGGTACAGATTGCAATATCTGCCCTTAGGAGGTCATCTGCCACAAACAACAGTGACCTGCGTCAACTAACCTGAGGGGACTGCTTGGCTCAATGCATCCTTATCAAACTCCAGAGTGAGCCCGTTTGACCCCCACAATGCATTTGAAGCCTTGTAAGACACGCCACAGCCCAATTTTATGTTTATAAGAACGTTGAGAGCTCTTTGTGCACGTGAAGAGCGAGGTTAGTTCAAGCACCTTACAGCGTGGGTTTGTTGAATGAGCGATTGAAGACAAATTAACATAGACGATGTTGAGGGGTTGTAACCATGGACTAGTTCCAATGCATTCATATCTATTTATAGTGCTTCGGCGCATTAACGTTCCACTGCGCTAAAATTTTTGCTCGTTTTCCCCGCTACCCCGCCCAACGTGGAACAACCGCCCCTGCAGAATTCCTTCAGACAGCTCCTTGCGGGCAGTACTTGCTCTATATATATTTTGTTAGTGAGAAATTTCGAAAAAGAATTGAAGGACATTCTGGGTAGCTTGGCCGAGCGGCACGTGACTACTTCCACTTTCAATGTCATTTGACTAACCTGTATCAGGTCTAAGGCGGTAGATTTAAGATCTCTCTTAAATCTCTACTGGGGAAACCCGCGTGAGTTCGAACCTCACAGCTACCACCATTTTTGGCGATTTATTCCTCGACACGATCAACCAATGCGGACATTTTTTGAAATTTTTTGGAGCATGTACCAGTCCCACCTTTCGCAACGTTCCTTTTCATTTATTTATTTTACGTTGAGTCATTCCATTGGTCATTGAATCAAAATGCACACTGGCCCCTACCCAGTTACCTACGTCTAGACATTCTTCTTTCCAGCGGCTCTGGAAGCAACTCGCCCCTCATATTTCCCAACCAGTCCATCATAATCTTCTGGCCCATAACTTCTGAAAGATTCCGCTATCCAATTTCTATATCCCAATATAGTGTTCTTCCTCTTTCCATCAAAACCCAGGTCCCGCATTAGCACGTCAAAGTATGGCAGCGAATCGAACACCAGATCTGGACACATGTTTCCATAACCCGCCGCATTTCGCAAAGCGCAATATTGTGTGTCGCGATACGTTTCGTATTTGAGTTGCTCACTGCTGGTGTCTGGAAGCGTCAATGTACCGTCCAGGTAGGCCGTCAACCACAAAGCTTGTAGATACGCGCAGGGTGCGCCCCCAAGGCACATAAGCGCACCTACGAAACCAATAGAGCGCTGTTTCAGATATGATGGCGGTACCAGAAAGCGAAATAGCCGGTATGGTTGCTGAGAAGGATCAGCTGTTGGCGTGTAGCGGAGTGCTGGGTCTGGGTGATGTGATCGACTTGTATCGCGAGTCTTGAGGAAAGGAAAGCGATCGTATATTTCACTTTCCACCCTTTTCATGATGGCTTCATCATCTATATCTGGATGCTGGCTCGTTGGTAATCCAAGCTCTTTCTCCAGACCTTCAGGCTTGAATTTCACGCTTCCCCCAACCTTCCAACCTGTGGCACAGACTACTGCATCAATTTCCATTCTCCCCCCGCCTTTGAGGCTCACTTCATTTTTGCTACCAAGTTGGTTTATCTCGTCAATGACAATCTTTATCTTTCCCACCCTCACGAGGTCGAACCAGTCGGTGGGATAGTTCATAATGCTTAGCGCATTCCCCGTCTCGAATGCATCTCTCCAGGGTCGAAGCTTCTTCGTCTCCGGATTGTCATTTAGCTTGTTAAGCTGAACAACATCATCACCCAAGATCTTCCAGAATGCGCCCACGAACTTTCGACCTAGCCATGTTCCGTGGAGGAAACCCCTGAGCCAACCCTCTAACCCCGTCATTTCCGCCCAAGGACAGGGTGACATGAATCCGAAGAATCGAGTGAACACGAGTTTCTCCAACCACAAGCCAAAAGGCGTCACATGAGATGGTGCCATCCATACAGGACCGTTGCCTGAAGGCCGGATGAGCATTGTTGCTGTTGAGTCAGGCTGAGTAGCGCATGCGTAAGCAATATCCCAGGCAGACTTGCCTCCTCCGACTATGAGTGTATGAGTACCCGGTTTGATGATATCGGAGAATTGAGTCGCGAACTCGTTCGAATGAATGACCAAAGGTCTGAACTCAGGTGATGTCGGATAGCGAGGCATAGACGGCTGGTTCGTCAACCCAACGGAGACGATCAACTTCTCCGTACCGATTGTAGATATCCCTTCGCCAGGATTCGCCTTACTAGAATGGCAATGTAGCATCCAGTTCCCTTCCATCTTCTCTATGATCTCCACTTTTGTGTTCAGTCGTAAGCATTCTTCGATGCCACTCTCTTGGACGAAAGCGCGTAGGTACTCCAGTATTTTTTCAGCAGGTACGTGTTCGCCTTTTCTGATCCCGAATTTGGATACATCCATTGGAAAATCTGGAATTTGATACGTTCCAAAGAGATTGTTAGTTTTCAAGCCCGAGAAAGTGCGATGAGGGGCCCATGGCCCACCGATCGATGATGCCGAGTCAACGATCAGAATCCGGGCTTCCGGATGTAGGCGATGATATGTGGCTGCCGATATGATGCCATATAGGCCTGGCCATGTCAGTATCGTGGAGTCCTCATCTAAGTGGCCTGAAACAATCAAGGGTTTTCAATTCAAGAAATGCTGGTTCGCGACTCCCATAAAGCCATTCACATCACGACCATTAGAAAAACTCTTGAAAGGCAAATTTATGAGCCAAGTTACCTCTTATCATGGATGCACACATCTAGAAATGCGGGGCCGATAGAGGGCGAGACATACCTGCTCCGATGACCACTAGATCGATCTTCTCCATGCTGCAAAGCTTCTGATTCAGTTTCTCGTATCGTTTATCGAGAGCGGAAATACCTTCAAGGAGACTAATGGAGGTGAAAGTAGAATTTTGTTATCATGCTGTGAACAAAATGTGACCTCGTACAATAAGCTCGCTTGACCTTCCTTTGTGGCGCATTCTGCTTATCCATTTGTACGACGGCATTAGCCATAAACCGTCCACCAATGCCACCCATGTCATCTCAACTTAACGTTTCAACCCCGGCACCAGAACGTCATCTTGTAACACACAGTAACAACAACTAATTCATTCATCTGACATGTCGAGTAATAGAGTCATGTACTCATTAAAAGTCAATACTTAAGCAATAGGCGAATAGCATCTGTGATGCGCTATTGGAATATAGCGTTCCTTCGGTACCTGTCACACCTAAAGTTGAACCCCGCAGTCATGCGAGGTAGCTAAATTTTAGCCACACCCCGAGTAGATTAACCGTGGAACACATCTTAGGAAAAGAGGTGACATTTTTGTATAGTACTTTATATATGAGAAAGGCTTCCAAATCCTCGAGAATAATTTGGTGGGAGTATCCATGAATGTTTGTATGGAACAGTCTGCAAGACGCATTATATCACAGAGACTCTCGGCGGGCAAAATCGACCTTGTGACGAAATGTGATAGATCAATGTATCCTTGGATAGATACACATCCCCGTGCCCCATCAGCGACTTTTCTACTTAATCTCTTGACCATCCCCATCTCAATTTTTTGGCACTGCTTGAAGGCCCGAGGTCTGTTCGTGGCTTAGAAGTTATGTATATATCGTTTTCAAGGAATATCAAGCACTAGAATTAGTTTTTTTTATGAAGGTCACTTATCATCGACCATGCTCAACTTGGGTACAATTTCAACGGTTTCAAATCTTAATTCTTGAACTATACCCAAAGATAATGATACAAAGAATGTAAAGCCAATTCGATCCATAACCCTCGTCATCCCTCATGTTACCGTCCTGTCTAGTACTCAATGCGGCCAGCAACCCGCTTCTTGACGGGCGCACCAGCGCATAGAGTCATCGTGATATCGCCCTGGTTCTGGCCCGGCAAGCAGCTCTTGGTGGACAAATCGTCGTTCCAGACGAAGTAGGCCTGAGCAGGGTCGTGCGTGCTAGGAGGAAGGTGGGCAACGGCGCACTGGCCGCCGGTGGCCTCCAGCCTGATGCCGGCCTCATAACCGGCGCAGTTGGCGCCATCAACACCGCCATTGGGACCCATGTTCACACAGTCAATGAGCGAGATGTCGTACCAGAGAGTGTCAGCGACAGAGTACTCGAATTGCGTGATTCCATGGGCCCACAAGCCGGCAGGGTCTTTGGCAATCTTGAGCGACTGGTGCCCGTTGAGGGGTTCAGTCCAAGGTGCGCCATTGGCGGGGATGACAGTCTGAGCATTAGTGGACGTGCTCCTGTTATATGATTAGTCCTACTGGAACACGTGCCTGTATCAGTGTTGATGTCTTACAAAACGGTAACATCGTAACCGCAGTGGTTGTTGATGATGGCATTGCCGGCCAGGGCGGTGGAAACGAGGGTCTGGAGCGCGACGGCGCTGAAAAGGCTGCGGGAGAACATTGTTTGAAACGAGTGTGGAGAAAGTGCAAGATGCAATGAGTGGACGACTAACCGGTAGTCAAATTGGGTATAGAGCGAAAGAAGATGAAAAAGATGCAGATGCTGATGCTAGTGGAGATTGGAAGAATGGCGTCGATCTCCCCATCTTATAATCGAACCGACCTCTTCAGGCACCCGAAGCCAAAGGAAGGTTCTTGGTTCGGACCTAGCTCAGACACATCTGACAGTATCCGGTGCCCTGAACATAGCCTGAGCTAAGGAAGGTAGGTACATCAGCCTACCGTGCGGCATGGAAACCTGCGTAAGTCCTGGGCTAGGAGATTAGACTTCCTACCACACCTATACAAAAGTCCGGCACAAAAGTTATCAGGCTTGACAATAGAAGAATAAGGGCGTAATGTGGCTCACTCACCAACGGACACGGGCGTTTCTTGTCCTGATTGGTTCGGAGTGCTGACATAAGAAGCCCGCCACCCGTGCCACACTCCGATGTCTGAGTTTCGGACTCGTTGAGTGGTTCGCTTGCAAATACGAGAGCATGCTCCGCAGGGGCGACGCACAGCGCGCTCAGTGTTGGTCCGTTGTTTGAAGCCATGATGCAAATCTCCGTATTCCGATGAGCACCAACGAGGCTCGACAGGGCGGCTTATTGGTCTTAAGCTTATAGGTTAGCAGCGTCGTGATTGGTAGAAGGGCCCGCATAGGCCAACATTGGAATATGCAATCGCACAGAAAGTAGTGCTTCTGGTGTAGTTTTACGAACCGAATGGAGTGAACATCCCGTTTTGGACTGGATTCGTTGACATGAAACGAAACTCCGGGGTAAAGTTAACTCCTGCGCAGCAAAGCCAAACGACTTGGTCTAGATTGGTTGGCATGCATGCAGCTGCGTTCTAGTAGAGATGGAGCGCCTCTGTTGGAACTTCCAGGTGCTATCGCGCAAGAGGCCAACGGCGCGAACCGTACAGTGGTCGGGAGATCTCAGTATTGGAACAGCTTCGGCGTGATAAGGCGGATATGACGCTCACAAGATTTTCTTCAGGATCTCCAGAGGAAGGGATGCTCTACATTGTTCCAGATACGATGACCCGGCGAAGGATCGAACGAAGGGATTTGCGCAAGCATTTCCTCTAGTCGAGGCGGATGCTGCCGGTGAACGCTTCTAGTTCCAAGTAGGGACGAGGGTGTTCCACAAGACGGTGATAGTTTCACCTG